GGGCGCAGGCTCAACTCTGGAAAAAACAAATCCGATTTAGAGCTCATCTTCAAAAAAAGCCTCTCGAGATATCTGCGAATGGCTACAGTATCATAACACAACTCTGGCGTCACTGACCGGTTTCCTCGTCTTCGTTATCAAGGGAACAACGCGCGACATCGCCTGCCCCATGCCCCTTCCCACGCGACGATCAAAGATCCTCGCACCTTTTATTTTATCTGCAGATTGACTCTGAAATGGTCGTGACAATTCCGGGACATGCCAGGCACTAATTCACGTTTGGCGCTCGCACAAAATCTGCTTTTTCATCGTGCGACACTTCATTCTATTGATGCCATGTGACTCAACCCAGCGTGCGCAGGTCGAAATGCGCAAAAACCCAGTTGCCATGTGTTGATTTTGCTCACCAATACGGTTTACAGGTTGGCTTGTCGATCGGATCAGAGCATATCCGTAAGGAGAGTGCAAATCCAAAGACATCACTGCACCGGAGAGATAGGAGCTCGAAGCAAGTGTTCCACAAAAAGCCTACGTGCGGCCTGAACGTCTACGAACACAGCTGTGATTTATCGACAAGAAACGCAGATGTGACCTGATTGTGAGCGAAAGCGGATTGCCCGTGCACATCTTTAGTGAGCAAGCTGTCCTCGGATATGCAGCACCCCATCTCTCGATGTAAGACGCTGCTATTGCGAAAAACTTGAGGATGGACCTGCTGATTTCTAATTTCTGTCCACACATTGCACGTAATGTAATAGAAGGTGTCATTGCAGTTGTGCAGAAGTCGAAAAGCCTCTTGCCTGAGGTATTGCTGTCTTGGAACGGGGCCGTCAACGACAACCGTGTCATGTGCTGCACGGGAACCATTGGCGGACGAGGGTGATTTCTGGAAATATTCGTGGCTGTCAAGTAAAGTTTACTGTAGATAGCGCCACCAGTCCTGTACACTGTACAGTATCATCTGGATTCTTACAGACTCTGGCTTCATTTCAACCAATCAAAAGTGAATACAGCGGCATTTATCCCCTCATTGGCCACTTCTCCAGTCACACTTTTTTAAGCAAAATTCCCGGGACGGTACGCATTTCACCTGCTCTAAAAATGTCCACGTGTATATTTCATGTGCAGTATCGACCGTGAATCAGCGTTTGACCTCATTGCGGTGCGGTATCCATCTCAGGGTGAGCATCCCTTTTCGTCTCGCAGACTCTCTCGACGTCCTTGTAACAAAAATGCCCACACGGCATTCTTCTGCCTCGACAAGACCTCCGTCTCGCAGGCCTCGATATTCCCCATGCTTTCTCTCTCCCTTTCCTCTACTTTGCCCGCTTCCGCGCTTCTCAATTTCTCGCAGCTGCCCCAAACACCAACTCTCCCCTGCCTATCCCCTCCGCCCTAGCACCCGGACACTCCCGTGTGCCAGTGCCTCCAACCCCTCCGTATTCGACCAGATCAAGCACCAGATTCCCCTCTCGCGCGCCTTCTCAGATCTTCTAGGACCCTCCGCTCTCGTCCGCTCCGGCCCGACAGACTTCAAAGCCTGCTGCCCCTTCCACGCCGACCGCAGCCCATCCTTGCACATCTATTCGGCACAAAATCGCTTCCATTGCTTCGGCTGCGGCGCCGGGGGCTCCATCATCGACTTTGAGACACTGCGAACCGGCGATTCCTCAGTGTCTAACGCCCTACGCTCTCTCGCAGCGAGATACCCGCAAGTGGCACGCCTGATCACTACCACCCCGCAAAATGCTCCCACAGCCACCGCTGAGCAACCGCAAGAGGGTACGCCTGTCAGGAAGCAGTGGAGAGCTATTGTTGCGCGAACATCTATCGCTCGCGAAGTGCAGCGCACATGCGCACAGTTGTACGAGAAGGCCTTGTGGCAGGAGCACGCTGTAGAGGCGAGGAGGTATATGACCGAGGTAAGAGGCTTATCTGAGGAGACATTGAAACTCTACGGATGTGGCTATGCTCCTGGAAGAGGGGATTGGATGGTGCGATCGTTGGAAGACTTGGGTCACCCCAAGGAGCACGCAGTGATTGGCGGCGTTGCGCGTCGCGGAAAGGAAAAATCAGATGTCATCTACGACATCTTTCGGGACAGGGTTGTTACACCAATTCGCAATATCCAGGGTGAGACCATTGCTCAGGCGGGCCGCATCGTTGGTGATGCGCAGCGCGCGGCCTGGGTACCAAAATATGTCAATGGACCGGAGACCGAGATTTTTAAAAAGAGGGATGCTCTATTCGGAATTGATATCGCTAAGATGGCGCCGAGCGTGAAAGTGGAGTGGGAGGACAAGGAGAGGGGGGTGGGAAAGCTCGGTTTTGTCTTGATGGTGGAGGGTTATATGGACGTTATGACGGTGTATGAGCATACGAACGGGTATGCTGCGTGTGTTGCGACAATGGGGACGTCAATGTCGGCTAAACAGCTAGAGGCGGCATACGATTTGCTGGAAGACCCCATGGACGGCAAGGTTATCATCAATTTTGACACGGACGATGCGGGCATTGCTGCAGCGGAACGGCTGTGTGATTCTGTCATTCCCGAATCTGAATGCGCGCATGTCGTTTACATCGCGACGCTACCGCCTGATATCAAAGATCCAGATGAATTTTTGTCTGCCCATGGGTCTGGAGAGGACTACATCGACTACGTTCAGGAGGTTGCGCTACCATGGTACGACTGGCGTGCTAGACGTATTATTATTGAGGAGCAGCTGAGTAGTGATGAAAGTGCAGCGGAAGAAGGTGATTCGGATAGTGACGTTGGAAAATCACCAGAAAGGGAGATGGTAGACCTTGACTCTTCAGATCAGTCGTTCGACTTTCAGTTGGGCGAAATCATGAAGAAGCGGGCCGATGAACTGCTTGTGGCGTTTGGTGGCCCCCCAGAATTGATGGACAAAAAAGAAAACGAAGACGCGATGCCGTCCATCTCGAAAGATGTTGTGGAATCGCTTGCTCAAATATTGGAATCGGCCCAGCGGTCTATTCCGGGGCTTAATTCAGGAGCGGTCGTGCACGCTTGGTCTGATTCTCTTTGTCGGAGCCGCGTGCTAGCGCTCTCTCCTCTGTACAGGAAAATATTAACACGAGCGGAACAGCTGTCGAGTTCTTGGGTGAAGATGTCACCGGCCGCACAAGTGAAATGGATGTCACCGCCGCCATGGATTGTGGAAGACATAACTGGGACGAGGCGCAGAAATATCCGTAAAAATGCTGGTCAAACTGCGGACGGGTTGGAGATGGACTGGGAAACATTCAGTACCGACAAACGGCGAGTTGAGAAGAGCATTTCCAGACTCAAGGCGCAGGAAGCGCACTTTTTACCGTACATTGAGAAGGAGCAATCGGATGATGTAAAAATGCTCAGGGTGGCGCCGAGACGAGCAGCTGAGGAGGCGGTACTGAGGTGTCTCATTTTCGCATCCGAAATGGATCGGTTAGATGCTCTTGAGAAGCTCCTCGAGGTCATGATCTGGTGCGAGCAACGAGACCTTCCTTTCTGGACTTCGAAAGCGCGTGAGTCTCTCTTCGATTACCTGGGTGAAGTTGATGGGCCGGTGACACGGGCAGAAATGGCGGCGTATGTGGAAGACGAGGAGTGGTGGGGCACGGACATTGAGGCTCTTTTCTTTCCCTCGGAAGGCAAAGACATTGCACTGGACGCGCTGAGAGCTCTGGAGCGCGCAAACCCGGTGGCTGTTGTGGAGGCCACGGCTCGAGGTGTGGCAGAAATGGCTGGCAAAGTTGCGAGTGGGCTAGCGCTGAAGGAGACTGGGGATATCGCAAAAAAGATGCTCGACAAGGCAGATCGGGGAGAGCAAGACGAAATGGATGAACTACTCGCCAGGCAGATATCTCTGAAGAAAGCTGTGAGCAAGATGAAGTACTTGAATCCCGAGGATGAGGTGAGATTCAAGGAAGAAGCGAAGAAGCAAGAAGAGGAGATGGAAAGAGAACGTCGAATTAAGGAGACGCTGAAATTACTTGAGACCCTGAGCGTGCCGTACCCTGGAGAGGACAAAGGGGGAAAAGTCTCTGCCGAGAAAGCGCCGGCGAGTGGAGATGACGAAAGCAGGGGGGAGAAATGAGTTGGAAACGCTACAATCTGACACCCTGGCCAGCACCGTACACCAGGGGTCACCAGCAGTCGAGCCGCCCCTTCTCTTTTTTCAGAATGCTGCCTTGCTTTTTTTTAACAGTTTTTGCGGTTTTTTAAATTCGTACGGTACATGCTCACGTGTGTAATCCGCACACGCGCCAGAGCTGTACGGGCGCCACCGGTGCTACGGAACAGTACAGCGCTACAGTATATACTGTACTGCATGTGTACAGTATTGTGTACCCGTTACTGTATGATACTGTACAGAGTCGTAGAATACAATTCAGAGTCTTCTATGGAAACGGCCCGTTTGACACAACAACAAAAAAAAAAAAAAAATAGATTGCCAGGTTTTTGGTGCCGCTCAAGACTCAAGACATGTTTCGGTGTTTCTTCAGATCAAAGAAGGGGAGACAGAAGCGCATGTAGTAACCAAATCCTTTTATGCTCGTACATCTAGTGATGTCAGCAGCATCACGGCAGCAAAACAAAAACAAAACAAACAGTTAGGTGGTATCGAATCGTTAGAGGAGCTGGTACAACGGAGACAGCCGTCTCGTTAAGGGATGATGAGACGCCGTCATCAAGAAAAGACAGTCAACGTATAGCGGCCGCTGGGCACGCCCGCCGAGATGATGATCTCGTCGTAGTGGTGATCCATAAGCGCCCACTGCGTGCCCGGGAGAAGGGCAAAGCGCCTGGCAATACTGGTCTTGATGTCCTCTGTGGAGGCGCCCTTGTACCAAGCCAGGATAACTTTCCTCCTGCCCATCATAATTTCTATACGATGCCTTCCGCTGTCATCGTCCGAACCCCCCGCATCCGCGCCACCCTTCTTTGCGATAGGCGGTGGCGTCCTCGAGCGCTGCTGCAGCTCCTGCTCCTGCTCCTGCTGCAGCAGCAGCTGCTGCTGCTGCTGCTGCTGCTGCTGCTGAGCAGCATCGACATGATCTCGCGGCGCGCGCGGATACTCTCTGCCGTTGGCATACCCGCGCGCGGCGGGGCTCGAGGGGCGGTGGAGCTCGTCTGCGTGTGCAAGCGAGTGGTCTGCGTCGTCATCAGCGGAGGAGGCACGGTCGCGCGCGACCTTCCTCCTCTTGAAGGGGGCGGAGGGTGAGTTGCTGCGGCTGCGGCGGTACGCGTGCTGCGGCGCAAACTCGTGTTCGTAGCGGTGGTGGTCGTGGTGGTGTTGGAGGTGGTGCGGCGGCGGCGGGTGTTCTGGCGGGTACTCCTGCCTGCGCATGCGGGTCGAGGTGCGGGCGGCGTGGCGCTCGGCCGCGAGCGAGTCGCGCGCGGCGCCGTTGGGCGGCGGCATCTTGGTGAACGCGCGGCGCGCGGCGTAGTAAGGGGTCGGGGCTGCGCCCGGCGCCGCGTCGTAGCGCTCGGGCGGCGCGCCCGGCGCGTACGACGCGGCCTTCCGCGCAGGGTCCGAGCTGGAGCCCTTCGGGAAGCGGCGCTTCATGCGCATGTAGTTGGGCGGCGGGGTGTGCGAGGCGTGGGCGGCGGGCGACGCCGGGGCCGGGCCGTTGCTCTGCGGCGGCGGCGGCGGCGGCGGCGGCGGAGGCGGCGGCGGCCGCGGCGGAGGCGGAGGCGGGGCGGCCGCGGGCGCGGCGGGGTCGGACGGCGAGTGGTGCACGGCCGGGAGCCTGGGGAGGTTATCGTGCGCGGCAGCGGCGGGGTGCGGGGGCTTGTGGT